AAATCATTTTTAAAAATGGTTGAAAAAAAATCATTTAAAAATTTTAATTTTACTATTCAACCGCTACAATGCTACCATTCAAGTTTATATTTGAATTGTTCACTAGTATACAACCGCTTTGTCTAACCGCTGATTCTAGCCGCCTTATTTCAAACGACCCACTATTCAACCGCTCAAAAACTTTCAACCACTCGTTTCAAATGGAGTCACCAATCGGACCCAAAGTCATGGTGTACGAGTGTCATCATAAGTGTATTTGCTACGAAAATACTTTAGAAATACGAAATGTAGGATGTATTTGCTACGAAAATACGAGAATCTTCATACTCTTAAGGTTTGATATAGAGAATATTAAATTGATAAAAACGATAATAAATTAATGCGGTTGCAATAGCTAGACAAGCTTGTAAATTCTCATGTTATCGTCCAATCTTTCAGAATTGTGCTCCAAAATGTTTGATTTAAATGATTGAGATGGATTATCACAATATGTATCTTCGGTAATACAGTCAAATATAAGTGGTATATGTTTGAATTCAAAAAAATATGATGTCTCGACGGCTTGATCAGTCTTATTGGGTCTAAAGTAAACGTAAAAAATTGGCTAGTAATAGACCAAGATCCATTTTTCCTACCAAAGATCTACACCATTTATTGAAGGTAATATCCACGCCATTTTCTGGATAGTTTAGTATGCATAACTTATAAATCACAGGTTCGATAAATGTACCACACTCCTACGCATTTACGCGACCTAGAACGATTCCTTGCCTAACCACTCTTCTATTCATTAGTGATAATTAATGTGTATAATCCACCAACAAGATAGATAACCATATCTTAAAAATAAAAAAAAGCATAAAACCAAAACATGATTCATGTTCTAATTTCAAACCTAACTTAGTGAAAAACTTTAATTGCTCCGTAAACATAATACAATCTAATTATAAGAGATCAAGGCAATTAGAAAAAACAAAAAAACAAGACAATTAGAGTAGAGAACAAGAAACTAAGCTTACTAGAACTCAGTGTCACGGTGGGCGTAAAACTAAGCTTTCTTCATCAACATTAATTCCAATATTAAATCATATAAGAATGAAATATACATTGGAGTAAAAATAATATTTGTACAAATGTTATGTACTGACATGTCTCGTTGGTCATATATATGATTGCATGGGTTTTTAACGTTTCTAAATAAAATTGTGAAAATCAAATGTCTCAAATATATATATCTACTATTTATGAAGCCTATATCACAGATGAATCGAGGAGTTCTCGACCAATGTTCCATATATCTCTCTCTCGATAACATTTGTATCTCCCCCAAACGGGAATAAAACTAGAAAGTTCAAAGACGCACAATATTTAGAAGGCCCAAATTCGTTATTAGCTCAATACCCATTTTGGTGCCTATCACGTATTTCCAATCTATTGTATTAGAGAGCTAAGTTTTCAAAGTTGAAAACGTAGCCATCATCATGCGAGGAATTACGAAGAGAAAGAAGAATAAGTAGTTTAGTTGTTTTCTGTTTTCTTTAGTTTATCTTTTTTTTTTCGAAGAGCATTAAACAAAAACCAAATAAATCATGAAAGCTACAATAAATTGACATGCGATAAAAAAAAAAAAAATTGACATGCGATCAGTTGAATTGTCAAGGACGAACCATATACCATACGTAGCACCAAACATATTCATATATTACTTTGTAGAAATACTCATGCAATTTGTCAACTTGTTCATGCATGACTAAATTGTAACCAAACAATATCAACCATATATTTTTTTTACATTTCTTGTTCAAAACAAATTCACACAAAAGAAGAAATAAGAATTGTTTTCAGAGCTTAATCTTCACTCCTTCTTACATCCGACTAAGTCCCAATAATCTTAAAATTGGAGAAACCCTAATCTCATGCTCGGAGATCGTCTGCAACTTTGGCGACCATAAGTGCTCTCTCGTTCCAACGAGCTGATCATATTGCTTCTTTAACTCAGGAGAATTACAAATCTCATTGATTTCAACACAACTTATTACTTCTTCTACGCTCTTGTTTCTGTTCTTACATATAAGACTAATGATAAATTCCGGACAAACTTTGATCAGAATCTTCCCGTTTGGTCCTTTAGAATACTCAAACGGTGGTGGACTCGACGGTGCAGTGAAATTCAACGGCGGATTGTTATTAGACCGGACATTTTCAAGATTAGAGTGGAACATCGAGAGACACGAAGTGGTTAAGATTCGGTAAGCGAAACGTTCGATAGGTAAGACAAAATAGGTTTGACCTGGGATTAGATGGTCCTCCATGGCTAGAGCTTGAATCGGACGACCTATGAAGAAAGAATCTGCGTGGCTCACGATTTGATCAGGAAACTCAAACATGATTTCTCCAGCAACATGTTTCTTGGAACCACATAAGGTTTTGGTTGATCCATGATCAAAGAAAACAAGCGTGATCACGGTTGCTTGGCGTCTACGGATTATTGGAAAACAAGAATTGATTAGAGATTTGCCCATTTTTGTTCTTTGTTTCTAAGGTGAGAAAGTTATGGATTGTCGTATTAAGAGGAATGATATATAGAAGGAGTTGGTCTTTATGGTCTTTGTGTTTTGTTTGTAGTTAAAAGGCAACCTCTTGAAGGAGAGAGCTGACTTTTTGAAGTGGTCAAATAATCCAAGATTTGTATTGCATTTGCATATGATTATTTTTATGAGGTGGGTTTCTTTGGTCAATACTATCGGCTTTGGTCTTTTTCACATTTTCTGTTTCAGTTTCCCGGCTTAAAGTTGCATTTAATAATGTTTAGAAATGTTACATAGAGTCGTGGAAGTGGTTACACAAGTGATCTAATCGTTATTTGTTTGTTTTAGTGTTTTGTATTCAATATAGCACATGGAACTCGTGACTTATTTCGTGACAAGTGTACCGAATGACGAATTCTATAATGGTCCAGATACGTAATCCCTTATCAGTTTAAGAGTTATCGCAATTTCCTCAATTATTTTTTATTTATGGTCGACCATCATTTAACATCATTAAACGTATGTTTTCATATATATATAAACCTTTGAATTCGATGATTTTCACATATGGTCTATGGTCTTTGTTTTAACTTTTATATTTTTTAACAGAAAAAAACAACTTGAACGGGTTAACCATATTAGTCATCATGGTTTCACAATGGTTTTGAAATTACTGAACATTTTTTTCTTCTTCATTTCAAACCAGAGTCCAACATTCATTAAATGAAGAGAAAGATGTGCCCAAATTTTATTTTGCTTCTATTAGTTTCTCTTGTTTTTATTAGTTTCTAATTTTTTTTTTTAACACTAGATTTTTA